AGCACTTTTCTGTGTATGGGAAGGTGCAAGAGTCTGGGCTCACTGAAGTCATTCCTTTGATGAGCACCTCAGCTCTCTGGGGCCAGCGTCCTGCTTCTCTCCATCCTGAATCCCCTCGGGGCGCACCGCTGGGGGCTGCCGTGGCCGAGGGCTTGACGGCCACAGCATCCTTTGTTTACTGACATGGCAGCAGGCATTCTTAGCCCAGGAGAGAGACCTGAGATGGAGTCACGGAGAGGGCTCTTGTCCTGGTCCTGAGGTTCTCCGGGTAACAGTGATGCATGCTCAGGCCTCCGCTGGGGTCTCCAGTCCGAAGGGCTAACTAGATGAATGCCAGTATCTCCAAGACCCGTTACAGCTGCTCCATTCGATGACTCAACACCGGGAGGTGCCGCTGGGCTCTGACATGACCAGTTAAGAGGGTGAAAAGCCTCGAGGCTCACGGTATGTGTGAGCTCATCCGTGAGGGGTGTGCGGACTCCAGCGTATGCAAGGATGAAGTTGCAGCAAATCCAGCTGAGAGCATCATGACTGCACTTTCCTTCAGCACAACGTCTGTGCTGCTCCTCTAAGGCCACTGCAGTCACAAGACACAGGCACCCGGCAGTTCAGAGGCTTTAAGTGACATTTAAAGCCATCGTTTTAATAAGAAGGGGAAGGAGGGAGGGAGGCAGGGTGGGAGGGAAAACAGACAAAGAGTTCGGGGAGGGGCGCACGTGTCGACCTCGCAACTCCGTTCCCAGGCACTGCCACTGTGCGGCGTGAATACCCTCCATCTTATTTTCTTACATGTTCAGTAGGAAATGAAAGCGTTTATTGTAAAAGATGTATAAGAATACCAAGTGACCGCAAGTTAAACACGTCTCTGAGGAAGCGGCTGGACTGGAGTTGATCAGATACCAGCAGCTGTACTGCTTGGGCTGCTGGTTTTGAGGAGAGAGCTGTTTGGAGACGCAAGTTCTCTGGAATAAGCACACGCTACTTTTCCCTGAATAACACGAAACGACGCCGAGGATGGGCTGCCCCCAGACATCTGCTTTTTGGAAGTTTTAGTACAACAGTAAACAGCCGGCAGGACCAGGAGGAGCAGATTCATAGCAACTAAGGCAGAGCTGTTCTACGTTGTCACAAACGGCAACCGGTGTGCTTTCATCTTTTAAAAAATTATATTAATCCAGAGCGCCTGGAGGGGTGGGATAGGGAGGGTAGGAGGGAGGGAGACGCAAGAGGGAAGAGATATGGAAACATATGTATGTGTATAACTGATTCACTTTGTTATAAAGCAGAAACTAACACACCATTGTAAAGCAATTATATCCCAATAAAGATGTTAAAACAAAAAAAAGAGCCAACATTCTGTAATAACTGTAAATGAGAAGTACCCTTTAAACATTGTATGAAAAACTCTTTAATTTTTAAAAACATTATGTTGAGCAGAAGCAACTAGTCACAAAAAGAATATATATTGTATTATATCATCTACATGAAACTAGAGAAGACAAATCTAATATAAAGTGACCGAAAGCAGTTGAGTGCTTGCCAGAGCTGTGGTGGCAGGACCCACTGGGAAAGGTCTTTGTGATGAAATGTCCTATGTCTTGACTGATGGTCTAAATTTGCCGAAATTCACAGAGAGGTTCACTTAATTACTGTAGATAAACAGTACCTCAATGAAGCTGATTTAGGAAAAAAGCTCTTGTTTGGGGGGGAAATGATAAACACTCATTATCAACAATGTAAGCAATGAGGAAAAGGAGAGAAATAAACATCACTCCAGATACTAATCTAAAGTGGGACGCTATTGATGCTCAGATAAAACCACGAGTCACCAAAGAATAGTTGTGTTAGTCAAAATGTTGCACAAAGTGGGTCACAGACCTCAGTGTAAAATGCAAAATTATAAAACCCCTAAAAGATAACACGGAAGAAAATCTAGATGATCTCGGGTGTGACAATGACTTTCAGGTACAATCCCAAAGGCACAATCCGTGAAGGAAACAGGTGACAAGCTGCACTTCATTAAATGCTTCTGTTCTACGAAAGATGACGTCAAGAGAAGCCGAAGACAAGCCACAGCGAGGTATCCACATCCTAGGTCATCAGGGAGATGGAAGTGAAAGCAACAGTGAGATGCCACGACACACCGATCAGAGTGGCCAGACCAGAGCACTGACACCACGCGATGCTGGCGAGAGGCTGGGGAGCAACAGGAACGCTCATCGCTGCTGGGGGGGCGCAATGGTGCAGCCACTCTGGAAGACAGCTCGGGAGCTCCTTACAAAACTAAACACACTCTTACCGTAAAATCCAACAGTTACACTCCTTGGTATTTACCCAAAGGAGCTGAAAATGTATGTCCACACAAAAACCTGCACACCAATGTTCACAGCAGCTTTATTCGTAACTGCTAAAATCTGGACGCAACCAAGATGTCCTTCAGTAGGTGAACAGACTTAGGAACTCCGGTCCATCCAGACAAGGCAATATTACTCAGAGCTAAAAAGAGATGAGCTGTCAAGCCACAGAAAGACATGGAAGAAGCTTAAGTGCGTATTTACTAAATGAAAGAGGCCACTATACTGCATGACTCCAACTATATGACATTCTGGAAAAGGAAAAACTACGAAGACAGTAAAAAAGGTCAGTGGTTGCCAGGGGCTGAGATGTGGAGAGGAATGAAAAGACAGAGCACAGAGGACTTTTAGGGCAGTGAATATACTCTGTACGATATTCATAACGATGGATACGTGTCATTATACATTCGTCCCAACCCGGAGAATGCACACCACCAAGCGTGGACCGTAATGTAAACTACTTGAGTGATTACGACGTGTCAGTGTAGCTTCTTCGACTGTAACAGATGTATCCTCTGGTGGGGAGGCTGTGCATGTAGGGGTGGGGGGTACAGGAGAAACCTCTGTAGCTTCCCCTCAGTCTTGCTGTGAAACTAAAAGTGATCTAAAAAAATTAAGTTTGAAGAAAAAATTACTTTTTTTTCATGTGCTTAATTCAGGAAGACACAAAGGTGCTCACAAACAATTTCTAAGCAAAGGGGATTCAAGCCACACCTGCCAGGTGCTCCCCGCAGATACGCAGCCTATCCTTTTGGAAGGAGCACGGAAACCGCGGAATATTTCACTTAAGTACAGACAACGGTCACAGACTCTGAAACCCATTTGCTTCATCTGAGAAGGTAAACTAACAGGTGATGTGGCCAGAGAATCTGTAACATGTCTAGGGGACTTCCTGACAACACCCGCCAACATCACGCCAACTAACAAGTCAGTAAAACTTGGTCTGATACATGATACAACGATGCTGTGCCCAGGCTAATCTGGCTTGATCCAGGAGTGTATTTTAAAATAGCTAGTGGGACTTCACTGGTGGCGCAGTGGGTAAGACTCCACGCTCCCAACGCAGGGGTCCAAGTTCGATCCCTGGTCAGGGAACTAGATCCCACGTGTGCCCCGCAACAAAGGAGCTCACGAGCCACAACGAAGACCCGGCACAGCCAACAAATTAAATAACGAAAAGATTTTAAAAAATAAAATAAAATAGCTAGTATAACGTATGATCTACATATCCTTTCAGCCGCCTCCCAAAATACTGCTTCTTTCAAACAAGACTTTAACAAGACTTTTGTGAGACGTACACAAATCCATCTGCCCTGATAGAAGCCTGAGGGCAGGGCTAAGATGCTCCCGTAGAGCTTGGGAGCAAAAACAATGCCCTTGTGAATAAAAAGGCCACGCACCTCAGCTTCAGGGCAGCTGAAGGAGGCGCGGTTAAGACTCACCTCTGACACTCAGGCCGACTCGACTAACGAATGAGCAAGGTTCTCACCCACGTAGCTTGACCTTGAGCGTTTAAGTCAGAAAAACACCCGCGATATGAATAACCAGACATCTTCAGCCAAACTAAAATGCACCTCTAGATTCATGGCTTAATCAACGCTTCTTCCTGTTACACAAACCAAAGATTCAAACACACCCGCTATTTACACAGGTGTGTCCAACTTGTGAAAATTCACGGCACTTTTCTCTGTGGCCTTACCTGTAAACGTTTTATCTGTATCTGTACATACATTACATATGCATGATGGAAATTCACATACATGTATGTGTGTGCATATATATAAAATAATTAACAGAGGTAACGTCAGGTATTGATAGATCCTCAAATAATGAAAAGAGGTGACATTTCAAGGAATTGCTATTTGCAACCATCTAACGGCTGGGAAACATCTTCTAGACAATAATTTAGTTCCAGCAGCAACTGCTGATGAATCATCAAATACAGGGAAAGGCTTCCCTCCACTAGATTTCATCTTCTCATTAACTGAATTTTCATAAAGATTTGCTTGGATTTTAATGTGGTATATACTTTTACTTTTAGAAACACACCGACATTTTTTTAAAAAGAAAGAAAGAAAGAGAATTGGAAGGTGAAAGGCTACCAGGACACTTATGCCTGGAGGTGCTGGAGCAGTTTCAGGTGTTTCACACACTTGTTACATCTTACTACCTACAACTGCCTCCTATGAAAAATAATGGTTTTGTCGTCAGCCAAGTGAAACAACCCACAGTGTCATTTTATGAACAAAACTACCTGGTGTAAATGGTTCTAACGTTACCTGAAGCAGCCTGAAAGAGATGGGTAAGTCAGCGCCACCTAAATTAACCAGGAGTCTTTTCTGTATCATCTGGTACAATCACAGAAGAATTCTATCAAGAGAAAGACTACAGCCTAAGACAGAGTAAAAGCATTCAGATCGATGCACCTGTCGAGACTTCTTAGGTGGACCCTTTACCGGTACAGCTATAAGGGAACGGGAAACATCCATAAGCAGTTACCCCACACAGCAGGAAGAGCAACCTCAATGAGATACAAAAACCCACCCACCTTCACGCCCAGTTCACTCACCCACACCCACCCTGACGCTTAAGGGATCAGCGTGAGGCACCTACGAAAGCAGAGTCTAAAGTCTTCTGTCTACTTACAGGCAAAAGGCATCGAGGCGACGGCGAAATGCAGACGCAGTGAAGCAGCTCCTCTCCACCAGAACGCAGCATTCTTTGCATTCACAGCTTAAAGCTCTCACAGATCTTCATTCCCAGCCCCGCGCAGATAACCGAAGCCATAGAGATACAGATCTCAGAACTCCGGTGAGAAAGCACTGCGTCTAGGGTCACCAAGCCTCCCTAACTCTGCCCCATACTCGTCCACAATCAAAAGCAACAACATCAACACCATGGAAGCAAAGTAATACAGTTACATAAAATACGCCAATTTTCTAGTGGCCTCTCAACGGACCAGAACTCTTCGGCTCTACAACCAGTAATAAACCCGGTTTACAGCACCAGCACAGCCACGCATCGCACCCAGTGTGCTCGGGCAGGGTCCACGCCACACAGACCCAGGGGCCACTGCTCTGCCCCAGAGCCTGCCTGGACAACCCCGTCCCTGCTTCCTGCTACCGAAAGGGAAAGAGACCTGCCTTCCTGTAAAGCTCAACCATCTTGCTCACCACGCCCTGCCAGTTTCTGCACACCTTCAAATCCTACACCTGAATCATCAGCAAACACAGCAACCCTCGCTATTTGCCTTTGGAATCATGTTCCATTGTGCTTTGCTCAATTTTTAGGTAGTTTATCTTTAGACGTTAAAGTCCCAAGAGGAAAACTAGATATTCTTCTTCTTTGCATCTGCCCAGAGCTTAACACTGTAACTTTTAAATGACAGGTACTCAACAAATCTCTGCGAAACAGTCAGCCAAAATCGTTAAGTTCCATACCTAAAAGGTGTCGTTGAACCTGAAAACGCTGCCACTAAAGAGTAACGAGTTTGGCTGCAACTGTCACCTGTAAGCGGAATCTCTAGTCCTTCCCCCGGCCTCCCCCCCGTCCAGGATCCAGCGTGTGACCAAGGGCCGCCCCCGCTTCACGCGCAGAGGCCCCCTCCGACTCAACACGTTTAAAACTGAACGTCTTTCCGCTACTTCCCAAACCTGCCCTGACCCCCGCACCCTGGCATCCACACAGATGCCCACGCCAGACCCTCAGAGTGGCTCCCTGCCCTCCTACGTCGAGCCCATCACCGCGTGCCATCGCCTTCCTGATGTCTCTGGGCTCAGCCCACTTCCCGCCCTGCGCCGCTGCAACCGGCCTCACTGTGGACCTACAGCTGCCCCCGCGCAACGCACTGGCTCCGGGCGACTAAGGGGCCATCGTTAAAAGGTATGTGCGCGCGCACGTACACACCCACGCACATCTGTCCTAAAAACTCATCAGCTCCCTCCCTACCTGAAAACTGGCTCTTAGAATCTAATCTAAAAATCCAGAATGTGGCTTGAGAAGACCGTGGACAACGTCGCCCCTCGTCCCTACCTCACCAGCTCGCCTGGGACCGCGCGCCCCTTCACGTTCAGAGCCCCAGTCTCGGATAAACAGCAGGGTCCTACGGTAGAGCACAGGGAACTGTACTCAGTATCCTGTGATAAACGGTACTGGAAAACAATATGAAAAAGAATGTGTGCGAATATATATATGTGTGTGTGTGTGTGTAACCGGGTCACTTTGCTCTACAGCAGAAAGTAACACAACACTGTAAATCAACTAGACTTCCATAAAAAAGATTTAGAAAAAAACAAAACAGAACTCCAGTCTTAAGCACTTCTAGTCCACACCACGCCAAGCTCTGTCTCAGCTCCCCTTTCCCACGTACGCTGTCCCCTCTGCCCGAAACACTGTTCCAGGTCCCGCAGGCGGCCGCGCTCAGCCTCTGTTCAACCACCACTTCCACAGGGTGAGCCCTGGACTAGTTCCGCTTCCTCTGCTCCAGCTACGACCTGTACCTCCTGTGCCCTGCGAAGCTCACTTTCCTCCCAGCTCGTGTGTGACGGCAGCCTTCCCTTCAAACGAGCAGAAGCCCTGTCCATCGTACACGCCACCCTACTCGTGCAGCACAGCTCTGCTGAGCCCACACATATCAACACTCACTCACGTGCGAAGCGGTCCTGCCAAAAGGCGTGCCGCGGTTTTTACCCCGCGCATGACTGTTACCAAGTAGCGTGCGTCATGAAGACGTTATTAAGCACTCAGCAACGGTTAGGCTCCAGAGTAGCTCAGAACAGGGGCCCAGCCCAGAGGGGACTCACAACTGAGGCAGGGAAACAGCTTCTACATAAAGGTACTCAACCCACAAGAGGATGCTGTATACAGAGAAACAAACTAATCCACCGCTGTAAGTTAGTGTTGGAAAAAACAGGAAAATAAAAACAAAAGAGGGTCTTTGAGTTCGATGATTAAAGGATGGACAGAATACAAACAAACAAAAAGACATTACAGGTGGAAAACTCTGAGGCAGCCAATCCTGCGGGTGTATGTACTTACAGATCCCAGGTTTACACGCATGCAAAGGTCTGATCGGAAGGAAAGGGGTTAAAGTTCAACGAGACGATCACACAACCAGTTCATAGTTCTAGAAGGTTAAAGCTGAATAGAGAGTAGCACAATACGAAAAACAACGAAATCTGGGTAAAGGGATTAAAAACCTGATCTGATTAGGAATAAGTGCCCGAACGTTGGACCGTGCCAGCTATTGTACTTCCAAGTGTGTTCTCTGACTTCAAGCCCTTGACAGCCCTCTACCCTAAACACTTGTTACTGCCTCAATTTACACATGAGGAAACTGAGCCTCAGAATACTGACAACATATTCAAGGTCATGTAGTTGGTAAGTGACAGAACTGGGGCTTGATTATAGCAACTTCAGAGCCCTTAAGGGTCCATGAGGGAGAAGTCCTCTGTGAAAACAGTGTAATGTGGGCAGTGTTTTTAAATCTGATAACTGGGTACAGGCGACACCGAAGGCTGCATGCTCAGCAAAGCAGCAGCTGCAGTGAGCTAAGTCAGAGGTGAGCAGACTTGAACCAGAAGGACGGCAATGCCATCAGAACACAGGAGATCAGTGCAGCAGAATGTCGGGGGGTGAGGGGAAAGCAGATCTAAAACTGAAAAATGAAGAGACGCTGGAATTCAAAGATGACTCCACAGTTCCTAATCTTAGATAGGAAAAGGATAGTGACGCCATGAACAGGAACTGGGTACGTTTAAAAGTGGACCTGTTTTTCCACTTTGGGCTTTGCCTGAGGTCAAGAGGAGCGATTCACGTGCAACGTCCACCAGACAGTGGGGACAGTGACATCGGAGCTTGCTGAGAAGAACAGGCGAGATTCACATTATAAGTACTAATGTTATATTTAGGTATACTTCTTAAATCAAAGGAGACATGTTCTAATATTTAAAAAACTAACAACTGTTAGCCAAAAAAACGGAAGCAACATTTAATAACACACTTCCCCACACAATCCCACCTTCCCTAAGCGGCCCTAGCAACAGCGGTTCTACATGTGTCAGCTCAAGACAAAAACTCCCAGCCACCCACTCATCCCCTACCAACGATTCCACACCCAATGCAGTATCTTTGCAGCATCTTTTTGAAACAGAATATTGAGACCATCTGCTGAAGTACATGTGGAAATTTTAGCCACAAATTAGGCTTTCAACTTACTAATGGTAGCAATTTTTTAAAATTCTAATCAATTTAAGGCATTACAAACAAATAAGGATTTCTATTAAACAGCAGGGAACCAATGACGGATTTCCATTAGCAATTTTAGGTACAAACAGAAGACATCTGCAGACAATACAAAAAATTAGAATGGAAAATGTCATCTGATCTCCGTGTCTCCACGGCTAGCTACTCGCACAACAGACAATTTTTTAAAAACAAGTAACAGAACAAAACATGCAGTGTATCTTTTCTGCTGCTGATCATTTTAACACCGGATATGCCCTTAAAAGGATAGAAACATCCATATGAAAAAGCACATTTAGAAAAAGATGGAAGGATACAAATTCATATTAGCAATTGCTTGTGGGGAAGAAAAGGCAAGAGAACTGAGAAAAGGGCAACAAATTATGCTTCAACTTTATCTACACTGTTTCCTTTCTTTCATTTAAAAAAAAATCTGAAACAAATATGCCAAAATGTTAACATCTGTTAATCTGGGGTGAAGGTCATATGGTATTCACCCTGGTCTCTTCGCCATGCAGTATTTCTGAAATTTTACCCAAATTATTCCAAAGGAAAAAAGGATCCAACCTCTCACCTAATGAAAGTACCACACAGAGCATGTCTGACCTGTCTTGCCTGGAGGACCCCAGCTCCACTGGGTGAAACTCACTTCACCAAGCAGCCAGCTTCTTTTGGGGATGTATTTATTGAAACGCAAGGGCCTAATTAGCAGGTCTGAACCCTGGGCTCGGTCCCCTGAAAGTCCTCTATCTGGTGGGCCTTAATCACGGGTGAGTCCTCAGGGGCGACAGCTAGGAAAGAGCACTTGGCCTCCGTGTCTCCTAGGGGAGCTGAGAGGAAGATTCCAGAAGGAAGAAGAGGCTGCTGGAGACAACTCTGGATAAATGCCCTCCCCACCCTCCCCCCCCTCCAAGGCCCCGCGAGGTGCCCGGCAGCACAGGGGCAAAACCCCTCTGGAGCAGCACCCTCATTTGCTCACTATGAGACGCACAGCTCGTTCCGGGGGAGAGCCATGCGTTCGCTCCGCCCTCCCTCAACCCAGATGGCAGCAGCGAAGCAAAGAGAGGGCAAAGCCCCGCCCTCAAGGACACGCTGCCTCCTCTCGGTCTCTTAATCTTAAAATGCCCCCCCCCCCCGCCCCCCGCATCAAAGCCAAGGAAATTCAATCCCACCCGCAGCGAAAGGATCCCGTAAGACGATCATGACGTAGGATGCGGTGCGGGTCAGGCCACCTGAATGGACAAAGGCCCGGGAGCCCCAGCTTCCCCGCTGCGCCCTGAACACAACAGGGGCTGGAACGGCTGCGTCCAGGTCAGCAGGGATTCCAGACAACAAGGAACAGATGAACTCGCGCATCTTACATTCCCCCCGCTTTTTTTTTTTTTTAACCAACAAGAGATTCAGTTTATCCACTGCCAAGATCCCTTAAACTAAGAGAACAAAAATACATCAAAAGGAAATACTACTGTGCACCCACTCAACACTTCTGAGTTTTAGGAAGACTAAGACATAAAGAAGCAACACAGTGATGCTGCAGCTCACATCTCCGGGGGCGAAATTCCTTTTAACAGGGTCTAGGCATAAAGGAGACCGGCGGGGTTTCTAGTGCTCTGGACTCTAGAGTAATAACAGCAACAGAGCAATGAAGCTTCTTAGACTCTGGACCTCTAAAGGCAGGCCAGGGCCCAGCCAAGACGGGGGTGAGGACTGAGGCCTGAGCATCTCCGACCCGGGAGCCCTGCACACAGCAACGTCACGACTGTCCGTGACAGACGCTGGGCACTTGCAGCAAAGCCAGGATGTCAGCAAGGACAACACAGAGGACGACGCACGTCCCGGGACACGGCCCTACGTGTGACCAGAGTAGGGGGCGGGTAAGAAAGAATAACACGTGGGCCTGAATACGACAGGCTTTGAAAGTCCCAGGGGGGAGAGCCAAAGGATGGACGGCAGACCGTGCGTGCGCCGCAACACGGAACGTGGAGAGACTGTGAAGGGCGGGGCGAGCTGTCACAGCCACCTGCATGGGAGACCAGGAGGACGAGCTCTCCGAGGCGGAGGCGGCAGCAACGGTGCCACAAGACACCGGGAAGGAAGACGTGACGGCATCTGCGCGCTGACGGACGGCAGAGACGGGAAACCGGCCCCGTAGTGTCTCCAACCACACTGCTAACTAACAAGGCACAGCAACTGCCACTTGTGGACCTTCGCCTGGTGCCAGACGCGACACCAAGGGCTCTCGCCACCCTCGCCTGAGGCAGGCCCTGCCGCCAGGCGGCTTCAGGCAAGAACACGGAGGCTTAGAGTAGATAACGTGCCTTCGTTCATAAGACCAGCAACGAGCAGAGCTGGAATCTGAATCCAAAAGTGTTTAGAATATTATTCAGCCTTAAAGAAGGAAATCCGGCCATTTGACGATGTGGATGAACCTGGAGGATATTGTGCTACGTGAAACAGGCCGGTCACAGGCAGAGACGCTACATGGCACTGCCTCTGTGATCAATCTAAACAGGCAGACTCACAGAGCAAACAGTGGAGCGGTGGTCTCCAGGGGCTGGGGGACGCGGGGACGCAGGAGACAAAGGGTACAAAGTTTCAGTTACGCGAGGTGAAAGTCCCAGAGATTTGCACGGCACAGCGCCTACAGATACAGCGACACACGGTATTCTTAATCTGCTCAGAGGGCAGACCTTAGGTCAAGTACTCTTACCACAAAATAATAATACAGAGAGCGGGAAGAAACTTTTGGAGGCGATGAACAGGTTCATGCCACAGAGTATACCAATGATGTCTCAGATGTACACTCATTAAACTGCAGACGTGGAGTACGCTCAGCTTTTTGTATGTCAGTCATACCTCAACCAAGTGGTCTGCAAAAAAATGTTTCTGTTTCACAGTCTACATCCTTAACCATTAAGATATACGTATACGGCCTTAAGGTTTCAGTGACCAGGGCAATAAGTATCAACTAAACTAGGAAGCGAGTTGGAGAAACAGACTCTCCAGGACACAGGAGGCTGGAGGTGTAGTCACCATCCAGCACGTCAGCCCGGCAGCTTCACGAGGAGGCTTCTGGCCTTAGAGAAGCTAAGCTTAGTTTAAAAAATCATAGAACCTAGCGTTTACGCACATTACCGTAAACGGAAGTACTCGACTGTTCCCGTAGATCTGCTGGAGATGCGATGTAAGCCCTGACGTTGTCGCAGGCAGACGCACGCTTCACTGGGAACCACGGGCCAGAGAAAGGAATTCCAGCTCATGCCGCCTCGGCTCAACCTTCCAGCGAGTTCTGCCCCCTTGGCTGATTAAATAGGGATCTGAGGGGAACCCACAGTGGACATGCAAATGTTCTCTTCCCGCCCGTTTGTAGACGGCCTAACAATGTCACAGTCGGTTTCCGAGGGAAGAGCAGCTGAAATCAGCGCTAACTCTGAGACACTCAAAATCCAGGGGATGCCACAAAGCAACGGCAAACGGACTCCCGCACAAGAGGCTCCGGTGGGCTCAGTGGACCCGAGCTCGCTGGAACCCACACGATGGGCAAAGCCACGCTGTGCGTGTGTGCACGCGTGCGGGAGGTGGGGGGTCTGAAGACAGATATGGACGGAAGCCACTCCCACAACTGAGGGACAGTAGCAAGAAGCAGAGCCAGCAGCAGGAACAGAGAAGAAATGACACCATCTGAGAAGCAGGAGAACTAAGCGCCCCACCCGGCCATCGGCCCACTCAGTCTCCGCCCAAATCCGCGTCCAGCCCAGCCCTGCCGCAGCTGCCCCCCGACTCGCCCCCTCACCAGTGTCCCCCCGCACCGCGTCGGGGCCCTCCGGCCCTCCCGACCTCACCACGCCAACAGGGAGAATTACCCAGGGCCCACATCTGGACAGGGCATCTCCGCAAGGTCCCACAGACTTCCTCTCAAACTGAGGTCTCTTGTGGAGGATGAAGGGTGGGCGTACAAATGACACATCTTCCCGGAACGTCAAGTGACGTTTAACCTATCAGATCCAACATAAACTTCAGAACGATTTTATGCTTGTGGTGGGCTACTCTCTGAAGAGCCCTCAGACTTCTCCCGGGCCAACTTCTGTCCCTGAGGGGTGCGCTTTGGTGCAAAGTGTTAGACTTGCGCTTGTCCAGATTAAGATGAGAAGCCAGAGAAAGAAAGACTGAAGATGTTGTATAAGGAGAGAAAAACGCCGGTGCGAGCTCAGATCATACAATGCTCTCACACTCTGTGGTCTCTGGGGTTTGGAACAACGGGTGACGTGGGTCTGAAGCCAAGCTTTTACCACTTCCTCGTCATATGACTCGGGGCAAATTGTTTAACTTCTCCACTACTTGGTCTTTTCCCATTTGCAAAATAAAAATGACAATAACTTAAAGGGCTGCTGTAAGAATTCGGCATGAATATCTAAGGAGAGCTGGCTCAGCACAGTGCCTGGCTTTCAGCAAGGGACCGATAAACGGCGGTGATTGTTTGTAAACTCCAAGCCCGTCCCGGCTGGCTAAAGCATTCCAAAGCTTTTGCTAAGTCCACAATTATTCTCAGACAGGAAACTGTCTATTCTGATAAGCAGTCCCGCCTTACCAGTCACAGTCTGTCCCTGACGGATACTGTAGGCTCCGTATGCAAGAGAGTAAATTTAATTACCCAGTTCTGGGGTCCTCTGGAGATCAGAACCACGGAGGACACCAGAAGCCCAATCAAAATCACTTCAGTTGTCGTCTACAGAGTGTGAGACACGGCACTGAAGACAAGGTGACAGACCTCAGTCCCGAAACTATGCGCATCAGTAATGAAATAAAGCGCTTTGCTGAGGACACCAACCTGAAACACACACGAGAGGAAGGGTACAGGACGGACTAGTGAATGAAGAACACCCCACTGCTGACCAGGGCGTGAGTCAGTGCCCGGGGGGTTGCACAAACCTCCAAATATTTATATAACCTTTTGTCATCTAGGTACTAAGTAGCGTGCATTCAGCAACCACTCAGATTATGAGAAGGAATGCGGGGAGGAAAGAGCAGCTACGAACCAGCCTGACCTGAAGTAGAAGGACCTGTTCCAAGCCACAGTCGGCACCCGCAGGAATCTGGGTGAAAGTCTGCAGGCTAGGACTGGAGGCACCTGCCTCTCCTTTTTCTCTCACCCGAATCCAACAGATACTCCAGTTCCATTTAACCTGCTCCTCAGATAATGTTTCACCTACTGCTTTGGTTTTTCCAAAGAAAACTTTATCTTCTATCATCCATTTCTCAGCATTATAAATTTTTAAGGGGGAAATACTGTAACCCACAGAATGCCAGGGACAAATTGATATAAACTGTCAGCTTGTCACCTATTTTGTTGCACCATCAGCGCCTTCAAGGCAGGATGCCTTATACACTTTCAAATCTGCTCTCAGAACACGATGTTAAGATATGTAAAAGGATAATTACGTGCGATAACTACATTATTCTAGAGGCAAAAAAATCTTGGTTTAACTCAAAAAAATTCCAGTTCCTTTAATAGCACCAAGATGTGTCTACTATTATATTTTATTTCAAATGAGTTAATCTACTTTAAGAATACAACAAAAGGACTTTTCTGTTAATAGTTTCCTTTGGATTCACTTACGTCTACAAACCAGTGCAATTTAGCTTGGTGTTTCAAAGAAAAATGACAGACCAATTTCTTCAACCTGAACATACTTGAAAACTAATTTTTTCTAATCGAACATTTAAGCTGCCTTTTCTCTACTAACTACATCTCAAATAATATACTTTCTCTTTATTAAGATATCCTGATAAATTAAAAAGACAGAATTTAAATATCACGATTTTGCAAACCCCTAATAAAAGAATGGATCTAGGCAATGATTATCAATGACCGTGAACATCACAGAGAGACAACCAACACTGCCGGAATCCAGCTACCAGTACACTCAACCACCTATGAAGCAATTTTGCCGAAAAAATAGAAACTGAACCAAATCAAGATCAGATTAGCATTTACAGGAAATAAAAGAACAGAAGAACAGGTTAAACCACACATTAGATCGAGAGCATCACAACAGGTTACTACCTGTTATAATTCTTAATTATGATGTTACCGAGCAAATACTTTTTGATACACGCACAGGACATTTCTTCCAGGTCTCTTTGTGATTATCTCCATCTAAAAAGATGAGAAAAGTCAACAAGTAACAGCGTGCCTGTGGATGTGTTTACTGCATTAAGACAGCAAAATGCACACCTTCACGTCCGTCTGGAGCTGCTGATCTCAGACGTACTTGCTTCCCTAGCGTTACTAAACTTTCTTTCACTGGAAAAGTAGAGCCGAGCTGAGCCGAGACGTGGCAAGGCCCTGCTTCTGAGAAGATCGCTTTAGGAGTGAGGAGGCAAAGAAGCTGGGTCTGGTTCAGCCCCGTCAGGGAGACGTCAGAATGAGGGGCTGGCCCCCGGCTGCGCTGGAGGAGATGCCAGGTGCCAGCTCTTTGCTCTCAGGGTCCAGGAAACCCGGGGACTTCTCAAGAACCTTTCAGGACGTAAAAACTCTTTGTGTAACAGCACTGAGAGGTTGTGCTTTTCACTACACTGACATTTGCACTGATGATATTCAAGCCAGGACGTGTAAAATCGCTGGCACCTTAGCACAAAGCAGGGCAGGGGCACCAACTGTGCAGGTCAACACTGCAGTCCTCACCAAGAGGAACTCAGCGGGGAAAAAGCACCAGTTTCACCTAAGAATATCCTTGAAGAAACGGTGAAAACTAACAACTGGGTGAAATCTTGACCCGTGAGTGCATGTCTTTTTAATATTCTGTGTGACGAAATAAGAAGTGCAGAGAAGAACCTGAGCTGTCCACTGGAGAATGACGGTCACCTCGAGGAAGAGAAATTGTGCCAGCTGCTCTATGTGTAAGCCGAACTAGCAACTTTTTCTATTCCTCGTGGAGTAGTAGTATTCTTATATAAATAACTGGAAGACAAAGCTGCGTATCTGGTGAACATCTTCTCAAACTGAACCCAGTGAGCCAGACGCGTCAAGGAAAACACCTGAAGTGTTTGTTGCCAACAATAAAATTCAAGCTTTCAAGCAGAAATTCAGTTTTTGGAAAAATTATACCTGCCGCCAGGAACTTTCACGAAAGCTTTCTCAGTACTCACAGATTCTTCTGATGGGCTCACTGCTGATCCTACAAATGGTTGTTTTGTTTTTTTTTTTCAAATGGTATCATAACACATGCCAATATTTGGCAGATTTATGTAACTCCATGAATGAACATTTCCTCAATCATGTATGGGTAAAAAGATTCAAAGTACAAGAAAGACCGATAGATTTAAATGTAACAGAGCGAGAAAGCTTTATTGATTGGGGTTCAGCTTCTACTCTGCAACTCAACTTTAAGACTACCACTTAACAGAGTTTTACTGTAGGATCAAAGAATGACTACCAAAAAAAATACGAAAATACTCCTCTCTTTTCCAACTGCAGGTCTGTAGAAGGTGGGATTATCTTCACATATTTCAGCCAAACAATAAATCACAACACACTGAATACAGAAACAGTTACTAAGCCAGACATTAAAAAGAGCTGCAAAAATGTAAAACAATGTCACACTTCTCAATTATTTTAATAAAGTTATTTTTCATAAAGAAGTTATTTATGTTAACATATAATGGGGTTATTATTTTTTAATGAATTTATAAATAAATTTTCCTGCTTGAAGTTCTAACCCAGTAAATATTAATAGATACAACCCACACAGACGAAACATCCTTAATAATTTTTAAGAGTGTGAAGTGGTACTGTGACCAAAGGTTAGAAAACAACAGCTGCGAGAACTGGAGTCTAGGTCATGCTTCTTCAAAGCTCTCAGACATGACTTTGATTTCTCCTTCAAACAAAGATGGGAGCCCAGCACGAGCCGGGTGACAGGGAACCCAAACTACTCCCCAGTTACAAGTCAGGATCAGGAAAATGCGGAGGCGGACGGCCCCTGGGGTCCTGCACTGTTCTGTTTCTTCACCTGAATGCTGCTTACATAAGTGTGTTTGCTCTGTGAAAATTCAGGGAGCCGCACACTTAGGACAGATGCATCATATATGTCTAGGTATATGGTGTAGGCATTTTTCTAGGTATATCTTACACTTGAATAAAGTTTTTAAAATTCACGGTATAAGATGCATAACGACTTCTGCTTTGTTCTTCCAAACCCACGACGGCGTTCAGCTAACCAGAGTCATCGTATACAACTTACCTTGGAAAAGCCTGATGAAAATAATTCAAATATTTAATTTAAAAACCTCAGTACAGACAACTGTAACTTTTCAGGGTTAAGAGCTAAATACCATCAGGTCAGTTTCCTTACAAAGATCAGGAAGAGCGTTCTCTGCTTTTACCTCTCCAGCTTTTCGAACGACAGTGAAGTCACAACAAATTTTACAAAAATGAAATCAAATACAATTTATAAAAATGAAATCTCCCAATTAGAGGCAAAACTAAGAACGAATTCCCTTTAGGGTATTAAAGTGATCAAGCAGCCACTATCTCTGCTCATCTTCAACGCATCGGCGCAAGTCTAGACAAATACAGTGAGGCAAGAACACACAGAGAGCGCGAACTGGAAGGAAATGACACATGAACATTATGTAAAGATGAAATCATCCTCTTCATGGAACACCCAGAAGAAAAGCCAGCCATTAAAATACCACAGATTGCTCCCCCTGCAAAACAATTAAATACAGATAAATATGTCAGTGCCAGTTCACAGAAAGGGAAACCCACACACTTAATAAGCATCTGATAAGATACTTAACTGCACTAGTAACCAGAGAATCGCAAATAAGAACAGTAACATATGTGCCCAGACGCTCCATCTGGGGCATCAGGTTAGAAAAAAATTATAAGGTCAGGAATTATCAAGTACCAGCAAGAATGTGGGGAGCGTAACCGAGCACAGCCAGCCCAGCGAGCATGTGGGGAGCGTGACCGAGCACAGCCAGCCCAGCGAGCATGTGGGGAGCGTGACCGAGCACAGCCAGCCCAGCAAGGATGTGGGGAGCGTGACCGAGCACAGCCAGCCCAGCAAGGATGTGGGGAGCATAACCGAGCACAGCCAGCCCAGCCAATAACCGGGCAGGACTCAAGGAAATGACATCTATGCCTGAGAGAGGGGGCTGTGAGGAGAAAAGGGGGAAACGCAATAAAGTAACACGAGAGGCTCCGCGTGGACCGGTAGTGAGAGAGGACCACTAACTCGGGTCTGCACACCCGATCTGGGAGAGGGGTCCCCATCTCACACGCCCCTTCACTGAACCGGCAGGTCCCTGTTCACCAGGCACTGCGCCCGTGCTGGGGACACAGTAGGGAAGATTAGGTCCCTGCCCTCGGAGTTGACGTTCCAGTGAAGGAAACAATAAAGAGGAAACAGATAAAGCTACGGTTACGCGTGTGATAACTGCTACAGTGGAAATAAAATGCGTGATTGTGACAGGAAGTGACGGGAAGGGAGGGGCTCCTATCCAGGGCATCGCCAGAGAGAAGAAAGCTCTCAGAGATCCGTGGGAAGAAAGGGAACCAGGCATCCCGCAAGCTTCGGAAAGATCTCCAGGAACTGCATCGAGGGCATCAAGTTCAGTCACCACTCTCCAGGGGAGACTGCAGATGTCCTGAAGAACATCCAGGTGCTGCCTTGTAACTGAACCCCAAGGAACCACCTTTAAGACTCCTGTTCCATAAAGTATGGACCACAGTGATTACAGCTAGCGTCCAATATATTCTGACCAAAGAGTTCAAGCTTTTTAGAGGGGGAAAAAGACACCAGCGACGTAAATGTTCTATGTCTCTGAAAAGGTTTCTGGAAAATTATTAGGATCCACAAACTTTCCCTTCATTCATTAAACAGAAGTTGAGTACTCATATATCCTTCCCATAGCACACGGCAGCGAAATGAGGATAAAGACAGAAGTTTCTGTCCTTAAAGAACAAACCTCAACTCCACAAGGTTCAGGATTCTAGTTATTTCATTCACTAGTTGACTTTTATGATTAAAAGCCAGCATTGATTGCATGCTTGCAACCCTCCAGGCAACGTCCGGTTGACTTTTATGATTAAAAGCCAGCATTGATTGCATGCTTGCAACCCTCCAGGCAACGTCCTACGAGTTTTTATACACATTTGAGGTCACGTAATACTCCCAACAACATACTACTACATTATTTCCACTTTAGAAATGAAAAACCAGAGGTAAGAAAGTTGCCTGATGTCAAAGAAGGAAGAACAGGCAGAGCAGGGATTCAAAGCCTGTGGTTCTTAGCCACATTTCTATTCCCCCCTGGAATCCTGTCAGTGGTTTTCCCCGGACCAGAAGCACCACCGACCGTCACCCTGGAACTTCTTAGCAATGCATACTCTCAGGGCCCATCCCCAGACCGGAGGAACCAAACTGTGGGAGTGAACCAGCCACCTGAATTTTAACAAGCCCTCCCGGGGATTCTGAGGAATGATAAAGTTTGACAACCTCAGCCTCAAGTTTTCATACTCAGCTGTATGTATGTTAAAGGTGAAATGACTACCATTTTGAAAATTCCAAAATGCGAAGTTGTGACCCTATTTTTAAAAGATCTAAATGATATTAATTCATTTCCTCGTTACCCACAGCACAGCACCTCCTCCCCACTGGACTCTGTACCCTGATTAGACCGTCTAAAAAACAGTCAACTCTGATGGGCCTTCCTGGGAACTGAGCTACATTCCAAACATGAAAGGGAGCACAGAGGTCCAAACAGAATCTTCACAATTTGAATCCCAAGCCATATTAGGAAGAGGAAAAAAAACTATTTTGATTATCAGCTACAGAAGCTTGGCAAATCTGGGTCCACGGCTCCACAATCCTTTTCATCCTTAGCTCCACTCCAAACTTTACAACCTCATTTCCACAAACTTCCAAGCACCAAAAAAAGAAGTTTACAACCCTCAGAAATGTTTGATTCTCATGATTCACATTGCTGTAAGTACACATAAAGAGACACTGTCTTGCAAAGAGCAAGTTTTTAATCACAAGTAAAGCTAATCAGAGGCTTTTACTGTACAGGCTACAGCAGTACGTCCTAAAGGTTTCCCTGCCCCTTAGCTGGACCAGCCCTCTAGGGCACCCTGCCTGACCCTTCTCTTCTCAAAGAAGTATTTAGACCAGTGCCTTCTTTTGTCCCCAAATCAACTGCCCAATACGAACACCCCAGCTCCATGCGTATTCAAGGTTTCCTATTTCTAATAACGCCTTTTTCCAAAGGGAATGGAAGACCGGGTATCAGAGGTAAGTATGTTCAAGCACCTACCATAATTCGAGAACCTAACACATCCAAGTAACTCTCTTAAGCCATTCACTTGCAAACACAAGTCATTCATTTTACCAAGTTCAGGATTCTACGTATTTTACATAAATTCGAAGCCAGCAGCATTAAGCAGCCCGAGCCTGGACCACGGGACGTCTGTAAAGCTGACTCAGTGCTCCCTGACTGGGGGAAGCCCACACTCAGGCAGTGTGTGCATCCGCCAGCTGCTTACACCGCCCACCGCCCGGCCACGCTCCCCCAAGGGCGGGCAGCCCCGCCAGGAGCTTCCTTCCTGGAAGGAGCAGCACCTACGTATTTTCCCCTCCCAAACCACCATCAGCTCCCCTGAGGACCAGAGCTGGTTCCAAGAAGCAAACTACCAAAGCTCTCCTGCCCACACAAAGCTCAGCGGAACTGGATCATACAGACACACACCAACCGCCCACAGACCTTCTCACCTGAGTGCTTGCGCTGCCCTTTAAAAGTCCAGTGTTTTCCACAAAACATCTCACAACATGCAGTCACCCTGACTAGTCCTTACTCTGCACTAACCCTGCCATTTCTAACCCTAAAACGGCAAGCATTTTACCAAAGCTGCGTCTGTGTTTTCTCATCTCCTTTCTGTAACCATCAGTGACAAGCAATTTAACCAGTAACCAGGCCAGTAACAAGCGAGCTCCCGCCACCCAAGGGAGAAAGAAAGCTCCCCGCTCTTTCCTAAGTGAAGCTGACAATCATGCTTTCCCATAAGAACAGAAGGATTTACGAAGTGAGCCTTCAAGGAATAAAAACTGTTTTACACGCCTGGAAAAAAAGATGTTTACGTATTCGTTCAGAGCAGGTATCAAATAATCTTGCTACATACAGCCACTTCGTCCTACCTCTTCGTTTAAAGAATCAGGAATCTAAGAAGGCAAAGCATAAAAGCACGCTCAAACAGCTCACCAGAGTTCACGTAAGATTTCAACAAAACACAAACCAGTTCCAGGGTACATAAATAAGGACCCATAAATTCACACTCTGTTCTAGGTTCTGTTGTTTCTAAAATGACTAACAACTTCCCTCACTTTAAATTAAGCTGCCACGTCCTTCCAAATGATCTCATTTAATAAAACTGACTTAAATCACTGATTGCAATTCTGTTTGAAGTTCAGTGATGACAGCTGCAGCACATTTGTATCTTTGTCAGTGAAATGCTTTTAATAAAAACAAAAAAAACCTGACTGAAATCTCCAGTAAACAGCACCCAGTGCACCATCTAGTGGAAGCTGTGTAACGTCGTAATTAAATCTTTTTCGAAGGGTAGAAACCCTGACAATTACACGGGGGCTACAGGCCCTACAGCTAAGAATACAGGGAAACACCCTACAAGCGGCCGAAATCTCCTCCCAACTCCCCACACTGCAAGAGGCGCTCATCGGAAGAGAGCTCACTTTCTGTACAAATTAGCAGATGATAAAGGTTTCTTTATGGAATGTTCTGCTTGGGCGCTAGAAATTTTAATTTGACCAGAGGAGTAAAAATTAAGTAAAGACATTAATGCAAAAACAAATGAGTAAACAGAATCAGAGCCGAACGGACAAGCCCTATGTAAGGGATGCCTTACATGACAAATAAGTTACGTCAAAATGTACATGTTCCACCCAGCAGAGCACCTGCCATGAAAACAAGATGTCGCTTCATGACTAACAGCTCCATTCAGTAATAAATAAGACATTTCTATGTTCCTGATGACTAATAAATTTAACATAACCTAACAACTCCCTGGGTTCCCCAAGCCTTGACATCATTCAAGGGGACCCTCTCAACTACCCATTTAACCCCACTTGCCATTAACCCCCAAAATCCCTTGAGTTACTCTCATCAAGGAAGAGATGATTTTTACATGTTCGACACTTCTAAATTTATAGTAAAAACTTCCTGAAACAAAATCATAACCAAAATGTGTTATGCTTCAGTTTTACTTACGTTATGAATATTAACTAGTTCAATTCAGAAAGCAGTGCTCAAGTCCAATGCTAAGCCAGAGACGCAAACAAAGAAGATAAGGTTTTCTAACGTGGAAAACCTCCCGTACTGGACCGTGCATTAAACCCATAACAGGTATATAATAGCAGAAGTCTACAGACCTGGGGCAGAATTCCCTTCATCTCTAGGGCTCTGAGCTTACATACCTGCAAAATGGGCCTGAGGTGCACTACCTGCTTCTGGAGAGTAAGAGGATACCAATATTGATGCAGTGCAGTGAGCTTTTCAATTAAAAGACCTAAATGCAGTGCACCTGGAAGGGAGGACCTGCTCCAAGAGTCTGCCATTTCCGCTAAAACTCGTGACCTTCATTTCACTTGTGAACAAATGGTGAATGAGAAAAAGCTGTTACGCAAGTCAAAGAATAGGTAACAGCAATTCAAGGTTTTTCATCACAGGTAAATCACATCACTGTAGTTAACTGCCTAGGACTCGTCTGCAAAGTATGACTGCGTGGGTAGCAGGTGCAGCCCTAAAACCTAAAGCCCGGAGGCTATGTTTAGAAAGGCTTTTTTCTAATTCGAATGCTAATGTTTAGAAAATAAGAAAAAGAAAACGAGTCTCAAGTCTACACCCACCCACGAGGAGAGACAGAGACAAGGTGCCACCCCCAGACTCTTGCACACTAGCTCGGCATCGCCATCCACGTTGCTCCCCTCGTCCCCACCGCACGGCCCGCACTGCAGCCCAGACAAAGGTGAGTCACACTGCTGGGTCTACTTGTCACGGAAGAAAAAACCTCCAATAAGTTCACGTTAAAGGCTGTTTCGAATTTTAAAATAATAATAAGTAAATCATGTTCCTGTCTAAACGCACTGCAAAGCGCCCGTGTCCATGAAGGCTGTAACTCACACCACCTAAGTACAGACACCTTTCCCACTTAAAAAAAAAAAAAAAAAAAACCCCCTTGGCTTATCGTTCCTTATCAGCAGGTCCCCTGCGCCGCGAGCCGGACTGACTCAACTCCGCGTCTCCCCTCCACCTGCAGGGCTCCCCGCCCCCGCGCCCCGCCAGGTGCAGCGGCCGTGCGCTCCCAGCGGAGGCGCCCCGAGGCGGGCGGGAGGCTCCGGGAGACGCGGACCTGCCGGCCGCGGCTGCGGGAGAGCCAGGGAGCCCGCCCGGGCTCGGACGGGCGCTGCAGCCCCGGCGCCCCTTACCTGCTCCGGGCGGCCGTGGCCGCGGGAGGCGCGCTCGGTCCGGCGCAGGCAGCCCCGGCCGAGGTAAGGAGGCTGCTACCGCGGCCGCCGCGAAGGACAATCAGCAGCCTGCGGACTCGGCACCGCCGCGGCGGGCGCAAGACGCACGAGTCCGGGAGCCCGGCCCCCGCTCCAGCCCGCAGCCCCGCGGCGGGGCGGGGCCGAGGCCGGAGGGGAGGGGCGGGGCGGGGCCGCTCCGCCCGCGGGGCGAGAACGCGGTGGACGCTGTGTAAGAGGCGCCTGCTGATTGGCTGCGATAGGGGTGCACGTCTCCGATTTGAAGACAGGCTCGCCAGCAGCGCTCCCTCATTGGTCGGTACGTGAAAACAAAGCAGAGCCCTGATTGGTGGAAGCCCTGTAGCTCCTTTCCCCCTACCCCAATCATCGAAGCTCCGCCTCCGCCCGCTCCGCCCCCGGGTGGCTGCAGAACCAGCTGTTTCGTGTACCAGCTAGCTGCCTTCCTTAAGGGAACCCCGGGTGCCCAGGTTCCTTTGCTAGAAGCGAGCTTCCTTATTCCACCAAGAGTCTTTGATTTCCGTATGAACTTGTTGAATAGCAGCTAATCCTTAACATCGCTTAGATTTAGAGCGACCTTTTGGGTGTTTTTTAAAATGCTGCCTAAGATTCACAGGGAAATTGGCATATGCAAAAAGAAGGTGTGAAATGTTTTCACCCCTGGCGAGATTATGCTGTGTTTTTTTGTTTTGTTTTGTTTTTTTACCTTTCCGTGTTCCATATTGAACGTGTATTACTTGTATAATTAGAAAAAAAAATGTTTAATAGGACATGAATAAGTTACACAGAATGATAAAGGCAAACTTTGAGGATATCCGTGGGAACTAATCCTTCCACAACAGAAGAAAATACAGTAATAAACGCAACACCTGAGGGCCATCAAAAAAAGTACACCCTTCAGCTGTCTTAAAGAACTTTATAAATATGACTGAGCTGTCTTAAAGAACTTTATAAATACTCTTTCCATATAACTACTATTTACCCAACATATAGTGTATAATGAACTGCCCAGTGAGCAGATTCATAGCAAGAAGTGAGAATACAAAATACACAATAAAGCTTTAACCAAAAAATTAGACTACAGAAAGAAATTTAGAAGATAAACTGGAGAACTCAGCTAATGGAGGGAATTTTAAGGAAGAAAGGAACATGACAGCCCTCGGAGATGAGACTTAGATTTTGAAGATTGAAGCAGAGGGAGGAGCGAGTGGAGATGAAGACCTACAGTCATCTGAGCTCTCAGACCACGCCAGCCAGTCTAGAAAGGGGGCGAAGTATATCTCACCTGGGGACCACACTCGCTTAACCCTCTCTAGCTGCTTTCCTCTTCTATTTGTTCTTTTTGTCATTCCCACGAGGTTCTGAAATAGGCTATTTGAAGTGAAGCACTTCACCCAACAGCTCCATAAAACTTATAGTGTTGAGAAAAAATGCAGATCGGCAAAAGTCGAGCGTAAGGAAGGAAAGGAATGTTAAGGTAAACATGAACTTGAAGTGATGTAAGGACAAGAAACCTAATACAAAGAATGAGACAAATCTTTTTTTCTCTCATTTCTGGAGAATAAGGTAAAGCTCTTTGGAGGACAGTAACCTCATTACCTAACAAAGACTTTTTTATAGAACCCTTGTAAGAAATGGAATTCTAAACGCTAGTCTGAAAATATGTGTCCCAGAGTATTCTGAGAAAGAAACTTAGTGTTGAGATCTAGTTATGTTTAAAAGAAGAAGAAGGGGGTGCGGAGGAGGGAGGGATGAGAAGGGCTTAGCACTCCTAGTAAAGTTTATTCCACAATAACACCTAAGATTCTGTCACTAACATTCTTTCTTTGAGATCAAGTAATTTATATCAAAGATTATTCTTTTATTCACTTACTCACCAAACATGTAATCAATACTAATTACCAAGTACTACTAGTTGCTGCCGTGAACTAGGCACTCAGCTAAGTATAGTCTTGAACAAGACAGACTGGAAGCTATTTATCAGTTGGAGAAGACAGATAATGAACCAGTGAACAGATAAATTACAGAAAGGGATCAGGACAAAGAGGGAAACAGTGACCTGAGGGGTGGGGGAGTGACTGTAAATTGGGAAAAGAGAGAGGAATACTCTAAGGAGAAACGCTCTAGGAGAAATGCTAAGATTGGAGGCGCCACCTAAGTGAGAAACCACAGCTCTACACAGCTGCAAGGCTACGACATTCCTGGCAGAGGAAAGAGCAGGGCGAAGGCCCTGAAGGAGGAAGAAAAGCGACGTGTTAGAGGAACAGAGAGAGGGCCAGGTGGCTAGGCTGGTGCGGGAGGGGGGTCCCAGATGGGCAGAGAGGACGGTGGGGCCTGGTAGGCACTGGCGAGAAGTTTGAATTCTATTGCATGGATTCCTGATGTGTTGCTCAATACTTCAAGCGTCAGTGAAAGGTAGGCCTTCCCTCCACTTCCCCAGGTGGGCTGTTTTCTTCCAGAAAGGGGCAAAGGAGATTTCTTTCTCTTAAGTTGCTAATATTGCAATAAGATCATTAACTTTTTAAATGGGCGCTCATTGACTATGTCAGTCTATCAAGCATAGATCTATGAAGAGCGGACTATTTGCCAGGGACAGGCCGGGTGTGAGACACAGACCCGGGTGGGGCTAGAGGCAAACTAGCTCTGCACAGGCGATGGGGGAGCTCAAGGGAGCTCTGAATCAGGAGTCATCCCAGTGACAGGGGACAAGGTTCCAGATCCAGGGGCAACGGCAGATGAACACTGGGCAGCAGGCAGGAGGAAGGGAATCTGATGCGAAGCCTTAGAGACCATGGCACACCAAAAAATCAACTCTCCGCACATCACAAGCTTGCCTCGCATGGGTGGACCCAGAAGGTGGAAACAAAAACCCACTGAGTGACAACATTCCGAAGGCATGGGGGCTGACAAAGTATGAAAATAAGCTGATCGTTGTTTCACATCATCATCTCCTTCATTTCTTCAACAAAAGTCATTAAAATTAGCAGATACCCACTTTTCACTATGACATTCTTTTTTGGATAGCAATGGGTTAAGAGTGTTAATCCTATTCGACCAGAATTAGGACAGAGCTAAAGCCCCTGGGGTAGAGATCTGTGCTGCTCGTTCCCGCCCTTCCCTGTGCTTGCTGGTGCGCTGTTTCTCAGTTGAAGTTACAATTAGCAGATATCCGTAAGGGAAGAGAGACAGTGCCTGCCAATCAGAGGAAAGCCTGGGAAATGTCATAGAATCTCAGCACATCTGACTGATGGCGCGTCAAAAGATACAGCAACTAAGAAATTTTAAAATGCAGTCTTTGCAATGTCTGACACAGTGCTTCAAAGCCACTGAAGAGTAATTCCTCTACCTTAATAATAGAGTTCAAAAATTAATTATAAAGATAGAGGGGTGTCTTATAGAAGCCAAAGATTGGTCTGGCCAAAAATTTCGTTCGGGTGATGTTGTGGGAAAGCCCGAATGAACTTTTTGGCCAGCCCAGTATAAGCAAATTAAGCCAGTCTTCAGGAAGGCTGGGAGCCAGAGATGGAAAAGCCATGAGAAACTCAGCTGAAGTTTTCTCTGTCTTCAGACCTGCCTCTCTCTACACTTCTGCTCTATTCTTCTCCAGAAAACAGCTTTCCAAGCTCCTGTGTCCGTAAGTAAGAGTAAAGCTACCCCAGACACACACACACACACACACACACACACACACACACACACGACTGAATCAACTCCCTTGACCCAATCCCAAGTTCTATGGAGAGAAGATATAACTGGCCCAGCTTGGTCTCCCCCTCCCCCTCCATCACCTATGGTGTGGGGAGGATGGAGGTCACTGGCATGGCTGCTAAGTAACATCCCTGTTGATGGGCAGAGATGTCCAGGTGAACAGGCACTGGGTAGAATACCAGAGAGGTCTTCATCGTGTCCCCCAGTCAGTGAGACTCCATTCTCTACTCAGTGACAGTCTTCCCCTGTCCTTTCACACTGACGTAGAGGCCAGCTTTCTTGATATCTCCCTACTCCAGGTGGCTTCCCGACACCAAGTACCCTTGTCTCTTCCAGTTTCAAGTTGCCGTTAGCCTTCTACTAATTCCAAATCCCCCTGTCTGGAGGATACGTCTTGACCTCAGTGTATTTAAGGAACAAAAGCACTTGCCAAGTTGGTGACCTTGCTCTCGGCTCTGATGAGACCAGCGTGTAGGGCAAGCAGAACCTCGGGGCTGGATGGAAGCGGAAGGCGAAACTTTGCCCAGCACTGTCCCTTCAGCATGCCCTCAGAGGGAAGCCTGCCCCTGCCCAGATGAAAACCTGGATGGTCTCATCGCTGTGCTGATGGCTGTTCAGTATTCAAACCCTTTGATCAGTTTAAGCCACGGGATACAGTTTTAATTCAGAAATTTTAATACAAATGCCAACATTTTGGTCAACACTTCGAGCTTCATTGACCTGAACTTGAAACATCCGACTGTGCCTCTCATGACCTAGACAATGCAGTTTTCTCTGGCTGCCACCCCCGTAGTTTCTGGTCCCTGAAGCCCACCTTCCACAGGTGTTCCCACTGGAGAAGACCCCTCCAGGTATTGTGACGTCAGCATCTCCAGCGCAGCTCGCTCCTCTGGCCCTCAGGAAACGCTCATACACGCTTTACGGGCAACAGTGGTGGGCGTGCAGCTGCTCCCAGAGCACACGGGTCCCCCTGCCCTGCCCTCTGTCTCTCTGAACTGCTGCCTCAAGCTGCTACCTGCAGCCTCTCCGCTTTGGATGCCTCGGGTGAAAGTCAGGCATCCAAACCCCGGAGGACACAAATCAAGCTGCCCTGTGGTGCTTCTGACGCCCCCTCTCCTGTGAGATAAACAGGAAGAGCTTGGACACGTGGTTATGTGGGACTCAGCATCGCCTCCCTCAAAAACCTCCATAGGTTCTTCCCTGCACTCTACCGCTGCCCTGTTATCCGACTTTGAGTGAGGGATTCTGAAGAGGCCTCAGAGGGCTGAGCTATTTCCTTTGAGATCTGCTTCTGGCTCTGGTAACTTTCAGCATTTTACATCTATCGTCTCTGGGTGCCTCAGTCAACTTTACAGCTGCATCTTGTCGCACTAGCGCGAGCCTCCGAAAACTGCTTTCTCACCACCAAGGACACAGAGCGATAAAAACTTGTTCTCTAAAACCACAGGCTGCCAGAAACTTAGCTGTTTGAGTGTCAGTGAGAATGGAAGAGTCACTCTTTCCTGGACGATGGGAGCCTGGGTGTCCCTTTGACACAAGGACGCAGCCTTGATTTCCTCAGGTGCAGACCTTCGGATAAGAGATCTGGGGAAACAGCATTCCGTGTTTATCTTAACTTTATGGTTACCAAGGAAATAGGACTCTGAATCCACCTTTCAGCTCATACTTGATGGCAGCAAGAATATTACTAAATGTTAATAAAATATGACTGACGGGCTTGCTCTGCTCTGAGTCCATCACAACACAGTCTCACCTAAATCTGACCTGAACGCCACCCTTCCCACACGCCCTGCGATAGCGCCGCTCTTCCTCAGTCTGGGGAGGTCCTCTCCGGGCTCCCCTGTCACAGGATCAGAAGCCTAACTACGCGAGGCTCCAGGTTTGTCTCTGATGGTGTTTGACTGCTGGGCTTTATCATCAATGACCGATTCTCCCCAGATCAGGTCACTAGCTCCTAGGTCCCCAGGTTCTGTTTTCATGCCTGCATCTCCTTTCACTGCTCCAAGCCCCACACACTCACTGCCACCGTTGCGCATCACCGGTCAGCCCGAATCCTGCGGCTACAATGATATAACACACAAAACACCATAAACATAAGCACCTGCAGATACTCACGTCTGCTTGCTCCAGAAGAAGAGCCAGCGGAGGGTATTACAATTACCTGAAGAGCTTTTGAAAGTTACAGAAGCCCTGAGATACTGATACGATCTCGCCTGCTGTTCTCTCCCCAAATACGCATCCTTGACTAACTCATTCCAGCAGTGACCCTGTTGGTGAGGGGCGAGTACCTGCAGGTATGTTCGGGAGGTCGAGAGACTCTGCTTTGTCCTTCACTAATCCGGGGCCCTTCGTCAAGATTCTAGGTCTATCAATTTGGGGGAAACTTTTTCCTCTGAGCCCAGAGCACCAGCTTGACATTGCTTACGAGTGAAAGGAAAGAAGCTGTCCCCATGGTGACAGGGACTTTGCCGACTTATTCACCAAGTCTGGCACAGGATCGGTGCCCAGTGAACGTTTGCTAACTGAATTAACCTGGAACTCATTTTAAGATGGGAGGGTTTCAATCCACCAGTGGTACCTGAGCAAGAAGCACCCCTCCAAACGACTAGCAGTGACTGTGGTCGATCCGGCAACTTTTCCAGATTGGATTCTGATGCAGTTGGCAACTGACTTTCTCCTCAAGGGCTTCTAGGTGTGAACTGAAAGCTGTCTAATAACGCTTAGCAAGAGGGGTGAGGAGTGACAGCATGATGTGTGGGTGAATGAACCTTGATCACCAATGAACCATGAACACAAGGCTGCACGTGGGCCTCAGCATAGCTGTCACCAAGTGTGTTACAGTAAGACAGTTAAGGACCTCTGGGCTAATGAGACACATTAAAGAGACTGATAATTGCTTAAATGCCGGGGTGCTCACCTGAGGAGCCTCAGCCTGTGTGTGGTCTCAGGTGTGCCTGTAAGACATGCCTATCTGATGGTCACACACACACGCGCACGCGCGCACACACACACACACACACACACACACACACACACACACACACAGTTCCTCGTACTAAATCGAATATGCCTTCATCCTCCCAAGTTTGGAAAGCTGTTAATTTGAAGGAGTTTGGAGTAGTTTTGAAACACTCTTCAGGGACTTCCCTGGTGGTGCAGTGGTGAAGAATCCACCCGTCAGTGCAGGGAACATGGGTTCGAGTCCTGGTCCAGGAAGATCCCACATGCCGCAGAGCAACTAAGCCCACGCGCCTAGAGCCTGTGCTCCGCGACAAGAGAAGCCACTGCAATGAGAAGCCCGCGCACCGCGGCAAAGATAGGTCCTGCGCGCCACAACTAGAGAAAGCCCGCGTGCAGCAACGAAGACCCAGTGCAGCCAAAAAATATATATATATATATTTATAAAAAAGAAGAAGAAAACACTCTTCAATCCATGGCATTTGAGGTGAGCATAAGACAAAAAATTTTTTAATTGCATTTGGCATTTTTGAAAAAGACCAAAACTCTTGTCGCCGTGATTATGAAGTGAGAACAATGACAACGTACCCCAAAAGAGTCCTATCTCTATTCAGCCACACTCATTGTGCAAGAACAGCCCCAAGGTACAAAGAATGCCTTCACTTTGCAACGCTTATGATTGGAATAAGTGTTTTACGTTGAGAAAGAAACGCATTGATAGAAAAGTTGAGAAAAAATAGAGACAGTGAAATGGGTTACTCAGAACTTATATTTAATTAACAGTCATCTTTGTACTTACCTTGTTGAGCTCACAAGGGAGAGAGTCACAAGCAAAATCACTCTTGTTCTACTTTTGTTCCCCAGAGCCTACGATCCACCATCCTTCGTTAACTAGTGCTGACCTGGAAATGAGAAGCTTCCTCATCAAGCCACTTGGAAACTGAGTGACTCCTTCTTGCACACAGAAGATTAAGAAATGCGTAAGGAGGAGCCATTGCGGAATGGAAAGCCTTGGTGCTGCGGCAGGAGAAACAATCTGCGGGTGTGCACACACAGACGTCGCGCTGCCAACTAAGACGGCGCTTGAGGGGACGGCACTCTTGTTTTGTTGCCTCTATTTTCTTAACTCGTGTAGTTTTCTCATGACTACCCCTTTATCCCCAAATTCCCTCTCCCTGGTAAATGAGCAGGAAACAAAGGAACTTAATAGATAAGTCTCTGAGATCTGAGTTTAAATTCTAAGATTAAAAAAACAGAAACCATGTAAGCAAAAAAAGATAGAGAGAGACACACTAAATAATAATAAATTTGAGATTACAGACCTGACTGATACCACCTCAGGCAGGTGATCAAGGCCAATGTCAAGAGTGATGACAAGTCATGTTGACAGTGTGTGTGGTCTTCCTTCCCAGAACCCCGAACCCCCGTCTAAGCATGGGAGAAACAGCAGACAAATCCTAACAGAGGAGCACATGCTACAAAATAGTTAACCAGTACTACTCAAAACTGTCAAGGTCCTCAAAAACAAGACAGGTCCGAGCCCGTCACAGCCAGGAGCAGGTTAAGGAAACGTAACAAGTAAACGTAATATGGTAGCTTAGATGGGATCCTGGAAGAGACAAGCAACGCCGTGTAAAACTAAGGAAAGCTGAATAAAGTATGGGCTTTGGTTAATCACAATGTATCAATATTGGTTCATTAATTGTGATGAACGTGCTAGGTTCCTAAAAGGGAAAACTAGGTGTGTGGTATATGTGAACTCTCTGTACTATCTTTGTTATTTTTCAATAAAGGTAAAACTGCTTTAAAAATGAAGTTTACTTTTAAGAGATTATATATATGTTTGCGCACGTGTATATATGTATACACGAAGGATACTGAAGTAGCTCAAGAGCTCGTGGAAGATCTGGACACCCAAGGTTGGGAAGAAGCAGTCAGGTCCGCAGCAGCCCCTCTCAACTGTGGCACTGCATTCAGTGCGACTCAGCTCTGTCATCCCTCAGGCACTGTGTCCCTCGGTCCCACGTTTCAGTCCCCAAAGAGAAGAGCCCATTGCCTGCGCCTGGCTGTCTTCACCCTGCCCAGGTTTTGGTGCTAGAATCATGGCTGCTGTCCCCATGCCTGTGTCCAGGCGACCAGTTCATAAAAGGGGAAGCTGTGACCCAGGCAGGTCCCTTTCTGGAAATACTGAGTCAGATGCTGTAAGTTAAGAAGAGGCTTAGCTGATAAAGTCAATAGCCTAAAACTTCAAGGCCAGATGTCCCAAAACAAAGGACAAAGGAGCATCCTTGTCATTTGCATTTGCCATTTTACATGCTAGAAAAGCTCTTCTGTTGATTACTACATTTTACGAAATCAAGATTCATAAAAACTGATTTCTAAAAGAAATTGGTTTAGCCCCCAAGGACTCACGCCAACTCTCCTGACTTCTAAATACAACTCCTTAACTTTTTAAAAAACTATTTTAAGGAAAGTCTGCAAAGGTTCACGGTGATGGAAACCATGGAAGTTTTGCCACATTGGTGCAGAGGCAGGGAGACCAGTGCAATGGAGACCCCCCTAGGAGAGGCCTGGGATGGTCAACGACTGAAGGGCTGCCGCCCCCCAGCCTCTGCTAGGCCACGTGGCTGGCGCCTTGGCAGAAATTAGGAAAAGACACCACTCTTCAAGATACTTCACTTCCGTTTGCTGGAAATTTGCTGTAATATGCTGCTTTTGGTAGAACAAGACACTTCACTCCCACCTGCCAGGACTAATAAAACTACAAACGTGTGATACCTATGACATAACCACGGTTGCCTGTGTGCTGCCCAAGCTATGTGACCCTATGCTGTCACTCTGGGCGCCACCGCCTGCTACGAGCAAGTGTCATTTATTTAGAGCTTGGCAAGCTTGAGCTCACTTTCATGCCTCCTTGTATATGATTCTCCCAACAGAGTGGGCGTTCCAGCTGTCACAGGTAATCGTTATTTTGTTTACCTTGGATTGAAATAAAGAACGCAGCTCTTGCACTGATCCTGTAATTGCAATGCCTTTAACCGTAACAGTGGGGTAACAGCAGTTGTGGTGCTGAGGTGTTATGATCTTTAAGTGGGAAAACACCTCAAAGCACTGTGCCTGGGACCTCACATGACCTTTAGGTGGGAAAACACCTCAAAGCACTGTGCCTGGGACCTCACAGACCACAAGGTCTCCCTGGATTCCTGGTTCCTTCTTCCCCACATAAAAACATTGCATGGCTCACCAGAGCAGGCTGGGATTCTCTGATGAAAAGCCGTAGGGCTGTTCTCCCGGAAGTGCTCTCAGATACACAGTACTCCATCTCTGTGCGCTGGGACACGGAACGGTGTTTTACCTGCCCAGATCCAGATAAACACCATCAGTAGGCAGTGTGTGTTTGTTTTTCTGCGAAAATTGTACTGCAAGAAGCAGGCTATGACTTCTATTTATTCACTAGAGAACCAACTTCTCCATGTAATGTAATGAAGCTTTAGAAATCCCTTTCAAAGACATTTTCTCCTTGAAAAAGATTTGCTTGCTTCATTTATTTATTCAGAATGAGACTGTGTCTTAAATTAGCTGAATTTTGAGTTATGTTTGGCTACACTGAAGTAAATAAGGACATAAATTCAGAGGGGGTATTTAAATATTGAAAACTCCATTCATAAAAATACACATTTATCCCTACAAATGAACCTTCTGGTGCCCTTCGCTGCCTCCAGAAGGGAAACTGCTCTGCTTAAGGCACTGTGGGGATCATTTGTTTACTTCTTTCAGTCACACCTGGGACTTCTCCATGTAAAGGAATCAGTCAGTATCTCTGGAGGGGAAAAATCTGAGAGATGAACATGAATTGAAGGAAAAGAAATGAGTTGAGGGAGAGAAATGCCTTGGAGGAGGGACTTCCTTTGGGGTCCAGCATGGTTAAACTGTTTGAAGCAGCAACGAGCGATATATGTTTGCAGAAGAATGAGGATACCAGCTGGGATGGAAGATTTCTGTAGGGAAGGGTCGGACAACGATGGGATGACCTAGATTTCCAGGCTGAGAAAGTTGGATCAGGTCTGAAAGCCAGCAGGAATTGCTAAAGCTTTTTAGCTTGTGAGGAAAATGGTATTTAAGGAAAATTAATCTGGTAGGGGAAAAAAGACTGTTTCAAAGTAAAATCATTGAAATTATTTTTTATTTTTTGCAATACTAGTGAGAAAGAGGACCCTTACAATCAGCCTACTTCAAAAAATAGACTATTGAAGTGACCAAATACCTAAGGATAGTGGAGCTGGGCATGCTGAAATGACTGCATATTCTTTTCATACCCTCTTTGCCTTACATGCTCTTAATACTCAGGGTGAGTGCCAAATCTTTGTTTCACAGTTGTTGATGTATAGTTGTATTTTTTTCAGTAATTTAAAATGATTATTTCATTTCTATTCATTTCTTTTCAAATCATCTATTTCCACATGTTCAACTTCTCATGTGTCTTTTGGTGTGTGTGTGTGTGTGTGTTACAGTGGTTTGTTGCAAATGAAGACCCTGGGAAAGGCCCGTGAAGCAGCTTCCCCCCTCACTGTAACCGGAAGTGATCTTGGGAAAACAGGGCTCTCCCTGAGCTCAGCATCCTGGGAGGAAGAGGCCTGCCCTGGGATCCCCTCAGGGCCCAGAGCCCATTGTGAAACACTCTGATCAAGAAGCTTCCTTCCCACAGGGCACCCAGGAAGCTCACCAGTCCCAGATCTATGCCTCACCCGAACTTGGATCTGGAAGGTTTCAAACCTTAATGATGCTGCTAGAAGCCAGAAAGAAGAGCTGGCATTTCACATATGTAAGCAGTTTTCTATCCTGCAAAAGAGAGAGACCAGAATATATCTTTGGGGCAGTCTGTTTTGGAAAACCAGAAAGAGGTTAATTACAGATCTGTAAATAGACACCAAATGAGAAAGACCTTTTCATGCTATTTCTGTGTACATCTAAATTGCTCCCTGTTAAGTAAGAGTAATAGTGAACACCTGTTAAATATCTTACCTGGATTCTGGCATTCAGTCCTCACAGTAAACACCATGGGATATATATTATTATCTCTATTTTACAGATGAGAAAAGTGAGGTTAGTGTGATTATGTTAATTGCCCCCTTTTTTTTTGGTCACACCATATGCAACTTGTGAGATCTTAGTTCCCTGACCAGGGATTGAACCCATGCCCTTGGCAGTGAAACCGTGGCGTCCTAACCACTGGACCACCAGGCAATTCCCAATTGCCCAAATTTAGATGATTAATAATTGGCAGAGCTGGGGATTAAACACGTCTGCCTCATGTCAAAGTCAAAACCCTCAACTGTCATTCTTAACCCTTCGGATTACATTTTCTTTATAGAATTTTTTTAAAGAATTTATTTAGACTGCACTATGTTTGCAAGCCATTACTTGTTTTCATAGATATGTGTGTTTAGCTTTGCAGATACTCCTGGAAGATTAAAAAAACCCTGCTTTTCTGAAAAATTTAGAGAAACACAGGATACATTTTGGGCCACTTCTGGGCCACATGATGAAATGAATCGCACAGCCAAGGAAGGAGCCAATCTTCCAACTCATGTAAGGAGTCCTGTGCTCCGGGACCTGGGACAACCTAGCAGCATTGACCCTGACAAGGAGAAGTAGAGCAGGAGAAAGCCAGTGGAGCCTTGTGTTGACTGACCACATGAAAGTTGGAGTGTATGTAGTCCCTGTCCTGAAGTAGTATTGAGCTAACCCTTAGCTCAGAGGCCTAGACGTTAACGTTTTTACTATGTGTCTAAAGGAAATGCTCGTGACTCAAGAGTAGGGAGAGGGGGAGGCAAGGAGTTTTGTGCAACAAAACTTCGAAAAGTCCTCCCACGCCCACCTCTGACCTCCATTCTCCACAAACACAGCAGGCAGTCCCCAAACCTCTCTCTGTCACTCTCAGCTCTCCCTGGCACCCAGGCCTGCTGGCTCTTGTCTCTCCTTGACGCAGTCTCTCCCCTTTGATGCCTACTCACCATCCTCTCCCGTGGGTGAAACTCCATCCTTGCTGGAGTACATCCCTGCTGTCACTTCTCCATTTTCTCTAAACCCAAATCCAGCACCATAAAAGCCCAGCAACTAAGCTGAGAAAGACAAAATTCCCTTTAGCAGGTGTAAAAGGGGAAAAGCCATGAACACTCACCTGTTAACGGGACTTTACTTTTGCCATCTTATCACGTGAGGACCAGGTGAAACTTGGGTCCCCCAGTTCTGCATGAGCATCTCCTTCTGCTTCCGCTAAGAAGTCTCAGGCAAAACTAGGCACAGCTTTTCCCAAATACAAGCCCTATGCTGGGGAAAGACTGCCGCTTGAAGAGTTATGAAATGGCCGGGAAACGGCAGGTGAGGAAGTTCAGTCTCCAGCCCTGGAGCCACATGGGTGGGGCTTGATGACGTAGGTGCTGGTTGACCACGGACGTGTTATTTCACCTCTCAACGCCCTGGTGTCCTCATCTGCAAAACTGGGATCTGGACATTCATTAAGCCAATATCTATCGAATGTCTACTGTGTGCCACGCCCGTGTTAGGTTCTGGGGATACACAATGAACAACACAGAAAAACAATCCCTGCCCTCATAAGCATACCTTCCAGTGGGATGATAATAGCCATATTTACCTCTTAGTAGTTACTGTGAGAATTAAATGAGATAATAGTAATAACACTGAACACCTATGTCATGGTTATTATGTTCAGAATGACTGTAAGTACTTGGCATGTTTGTTAATTCAAGGAGACTTTACTTTTTCTTGGCCGTCTAGTGGAGCCTATCAGGGATGGGACACAAGAGAAACAAAACATACTGAGATGGCTGCCCAAACAATGAAAAGTTATATGATAATCAAAGTACTTCTTTTTTCTTAACACATTAAATAATAAGATCCAGTGACACGTTTAATGATACCATAACTTTGAAAAACTAACGAGTCCAGATGTAACTAATTTCCGCATTCAAGTTCACAGGCATCCACTGGCTTGTAGACCCCAGGATTAATTCAACCATCATCATAACCCTATGAAGTAGGTATTATTATTCTTATTCCTTCTTACGGATGAGGAAACTGCAGCACCGAGAGGTTACGTGGCTTGTCCTCGGCTCCTAAGTGATGGAGCTGCGATCCGCTCCACGGCCAGCGTTCTTAACACAGTGTAGGTTGAGGTCGGGGTTTGCCCCATGGTCAGGGTCAACACCACTGGCTGGGAGTTGAAAGGAGTAATTGAATACGTAGTAGAAGCGTTAGTAAGAGAGTGTATCTAGGGGATGAGGGACAGTCTGTACCCTTAAAGGGAAAAACTCCACTGTGTAGCGACGAAGACTAGGTAGGACACAGTGCCTACCTTGATTCTGAGTCTCGGAGGCTCGTCCAAACCCAGTGCTGCCTGGCTGTGAGCTGAACACCAAAGACTCTGGGGTATGTGACGATGCAGGGGAATGTTCTTGGGTTGATGAAAGCCTCTTATTTTTATTTGTATAGTCCCACATTAATTATTGGGATTTTTCTGTACTTCTAGTAGGTACTGTCACCAAAAGACCCTAGCACCTAAATCATCGTGGCAGAATAAAAAGAACACTTTTCATCTTGCAGAGAAGGGTGGCTGCTCTTATCTCTGCTGTCATCTGGAAACATGAGAGGTCAGAGGTGCAGGGATGGAGGAGGTCCCCCAGGCCCCTTATAAATAGTCATTGAATTGAAAGGTGTTGAAAAGGGAAAGAAACTTACACTTCTCCAAATGGTGACAAGCCACACTTCAGCTGCAACTTTTTAAAAGAAAAAGACCAACAAAAGAAGTCCAGATCATTAGTGCGGAGAGCTTACTGCCCAGGAGGAGTGAGCGCACCCCGCCGAGGCCGACGGAGCAGCGTGAGACGACTTCCTCTTTCCCATAAGTCTGCCTTGGAAGGCATTTTTCTAATTTCTGTCCACGGCATATTTTTACAGTGACAAGGCACTTGTTCCTTAACATTCACCTGGCACACTGCTCCCATCAGCAAGGCAGGAAACGTGGCAGGGTGTGCCCTGTCCCACCATGAAGGTAAATGCCCATCGATTCACCAGACGGTTCGTGACCCCCTGTCCCAGGCTCCACCTACAAACCTCAGGACGAACGTGCAAAAGGGAGTTGAAGTGCTGGTGGCCACCAAGCCCAGTGCTCAGCCTTGATGGCAGAGTATCAGCTAACGGCAGAGGGTACGATGACGTCAAAGATGCCGGAGCGTCTGCACACATTCCTCTCCAGGTCATCAGCCTTGACTTGGGAAAGGAGCACATGTGACCAGCTGCACTGAAAAAACACCATCGTGAACCTTCGCAGAGAAACCAGATGGCTCCAGGCCGACGGTAAAAATAGCTCGTCACACAGCACAGCCCAAACCAGAAGCGAGGCAGTGCTTTAGGGCCTCTCAGGTTTTGATTTCAACTGGCCAAAAAGGTTAAAAAGTGTTTTAACTCAACGGAGAGAAACTGCCTTGGAAAGAGAGGTTAAAAATACAAGTGTTCTGCATTTTACCTGGCTTATTTCATATTCATTTGACTGTCACCAGCAAAAGAATGAAAAGTATCTCCAGCTAGATAAAAAAAGTATCTGTCTTTCTTCTTGTTTGACCATAATAAGAAAAACTGGCGGATCAGCGTGTAGCTCAGTAAAGAACTTCTGCAATACGTGTGCTAACGGGAAGAGTGGACGTGAAAACTTGTGCTTTATAGTTAATGATGTTTGAAGACTCAGATTTACAGACTTATTGGAGCTCTAATTTGTTTATTTTGTTACTTATTTCACAGAAGCTGTTTAATCCATCTCCCATTGCTCCAGTGAGGTTTCTATTTCTACCAATGGGGGTGAATCACCCTTGGCCATTTAGGGATACGTTTAGAACATGATTTTTCAAGTCAGGACCCAAGTGAAATTTTGATTCCCCAACCAGAGCCTAGAAGCTCAGCACACTAGCAGCCATTGTGCTCTGCCTTGGTGTTGGCCTTGGTGCACTGATTGTATTACACAGAATAGAGGTGATTGGAAGAGTTCCACAGACCAAAAATAGCTCGGATAATAAGTCCTTACAGGACAAGAGGAAGTAAGTGGCATTTGACTTGGGGTTCCCTCGGTCCCCTGACCTGGTGAACAAGAACACGCTTTTGTATCTTTCAGTTGTTGAAACTGACGTGGTCTGGGTCCACATTCAATCAGCAAAGAAGTACTTGTCCTCACACACAGTGTTGTTCTGTCCCGGGAACCGTGAATGCTTTTCTTATTCGACTTAAACTTCTAGTGCCTCATTAATAGAATAGACCCTTGATGCCTGGTTACTAAACAATCTCAGCTCTGTGGGGATTTACTTTTGAGTTCTTAATAAAAGATAAAAATAAGTAAAACTGAATCTAATTAGAACTTTCACCTACATGCCATAAATAGTTTCAGTGTTCAATTCCACATCTTCAGAAGTATAGAATAATTGTTCTTGAAGGTCTATTTCATAGTTTTTAAAGTGTGAATCCCTTGAAACTGAACATTATCCCTAGTGTTCCTTTTTGTTCAGTAGGGCAGAATGTTAATACGACAAGGATGAGGTTTGTGAATTTATAACAGCCCTGGTAGGATTCTCAGCGTTTTCCCTCTGAGTGTCAGGAGTTAGCTCAGAGTCATTTCTGAGAAAAGAAAAGTAAAATCCTTCCACCCACCTTGAGACTTTCCCTTAACTATTTTTTTGATTAAAAGTTGATTTCCATTCCAAAAAGAGAAACTCATAGTTCTGATCTTATTTTTCTACCTAACAGAAGAAAAGTTTACATGCTTTTCTCCTCCATTGGAAGGCTTCCATAATTATAAATGTTTTGACCCATGTTTTCTTGTAATACCTCGTGGTTCTATTTTTAGCATTTACATTTTCTATAGAGCTGGAATTTATTTTGGTGTAAAGAATAAAATAGGGCTTCCCTGGTGGCGCAGTGGTTGAGAATCTGCCTGCTAATGCAGGGGACATGGGTTCGAGCCCTGGTCTGGGAGGATCCCACATGCCGCGGAGCGACTAGGCCCATGCGCCACAACTACTGAGCCTGCGCGTCTGGAGCCTGTGCTCCGCAACAAGAGAGGCCACGATAGTGAGAGGCCCGCGCACCGCGATGAAGAGTGGCCCCCGCTCGCCACAACTAGAGAAAGCCCTCGCACAGAATTGAAGACCCAACACAGCAAAAATTAATTAATAAACTCCTACCCCCAACATCTTCTTAAAAAAAAAAAAAAGAATAAAGTATAAACCCAGTTCTGTATAATGGCTTTCCATTTGTCCAAATACAATGTAGCACTGACTTGAAACACTTTTATTACATACTAAGATTTATGTATACCGGCCTCTCTGTTCTTTTCCATTGCCATATCTATTTTAATTACCACAGTTTTAACCAGTGTATTTTTTATGTTGCCACATTGTTTTAACCACTGTATTATATATCATAACACATTTTATATTTATTACGCCATATATTAAAATGTATTATAAAGAAATACTGTTCATCTTTTCTCTTCTTTTCCAAAATTGCCCTGGCTACTCCTTGACCCTCTTAATAATCTGTGGCCTAATCGATCAAGTCTTCTGGCCGCCTCCCTCTCCTCCAATTGGCTGGGATATCTATTATTAATTTAGATAGTACAAATATTTCAAAATGTTCCTTGTGCTGAAGCATAAAAGTATTCAGTATTCCTTGAATACCTCCTCCGGAAGTTTATTCGTAGGTGCTTAAGGTTTTTGGTTTGTGGTTGTGACTGAGTGAATGCTCTCTCTCTTACTTGATATTTTCATTTTCTTTTTTGAGTTTAGGAAAGTATTGATTTTTTGCACATTACTTTTAAAACTAACGGCTTTGCTATATTCTTTTAATATTTCTAATTGTTTTTCAGTTGTGAAACTTTCTTTAGTAGATAAAGCAAAACTGAGTCACATTTGTACTTTAAATCATCAAAATATAGAGTCTGAAATAATGAAGTTTTGCTGTAACTGAGGACATGCACATTTCTATCCATCTTTTTAGCTTTCATATCTTTACAGAGTTGAACCTTGTCCAACAGGAACAAAATAAAAATGAAGGTGTAGGGCCCACTCTCAGCCCATTGGCTAAAATACCCTGATCATAAGCACTTTCTCCCATTCTCTTTATTACAGGTTTTCGCTTTTGTACAATGGAAAGAGCGATTAATTCCTCTTTTCTCCCTACTTTGAGGTGATATGAGGATGAATGAGACAATGAAGCCAGGTGCTGTGAATAGCTTCCCGACAGATACCACACTGCATCCACCAAACACATCTGCCAGTACTCACCAATAAAGCTGCTACCTGCAGGTTTTAGCGTTGGTAAGAGTGGAGTAGCTTGTATTGTACTTGCCTTACTTTTGATATAACAATTATAAACTCTGAACTTTTTTTTTTAATGATTTGAAGGTACTGGGGAGAAACTGGTTGAAAGTGTCAGGCAGTGTG